TATGATTACTTTTTATTATTGTTATAGTATTACAATACTTTAACTACATTATGTGGATTTTTTTGTATTTCTGTGTTATTTATAAAGCCTGTTTTAGATGCGAAATAATATCTACGAAAACAATATTAAATTTTTCTTCTGTACGCATAACATATTTTGTTTCGCCTATGGACATGTATGATTCAAAATTTCTTGATCGATCTTTAGTTTTGAAGATTTAAGAAGAATATATGAACTTCATAAAGGACATTCAATATTTTATAATGCATTTTACTGTTTCTTTTTCCCCAATAATAATAGAAATCCGATAAATTTCAAGTAGAAGCTTGCATATTCATCCAAAACAGGCTTCTGAACATTTGTGTCTCGACTTTTAACAAAATTTCTTCATTTGTTTTCTGTTTTTTAATAAAGATAACGCACAACGACGTGTATATGTTACATGGAATAGGTATTATGTTTAGATTGACCTTGCACATTTGATACATTCGCTGTGGCAGGCCCAGCTGTTTGATCGTCTTGATCATTTTGACCACAGGTTTTCCGAACATATTGTGGAGTGAGTACAACTTCTTCTTCCATTTCGAGTACTCTCTTATCTAATTCCATACATGCTGCCATTAAATTTTCTAGTTTTGCCAGCATTTTTGGTGAATTATATTTTTCTGGATCATCATGAAATACTACCATTCCATCCTTTTGATTAATTGTTGCAAAAATTTCTCCTTCCTCAATCTATACATATATAAGCAAATTATTTATTCATTAATATTTTATACATTTCCATATATTTAAAAAAGTAACATATTTACCATGTTCAGGATGTACTTTTCTGCATCAGCAGGTCCTGCTAGTTGAACTCTGCTTGCCACATCACTTAAGCTAAGCGTTAAAAAAGTCTTTGTCAACCTTTGTATATTCTTTTTGTACAAAAAGCTGAGTACTTGTTTCACAAGCCCCATATTATGATCTCTTGTAAAAAGTTGTTGATATTTATTAATAATTTTTTGAACTTCTTCGCAACTATTCATTTGATAAGCAATGGCCAATTCTTCATATTGCTGACTTAACGGTTTCATGTACCTATTGACCACTTGGCTTGTATACCTAGGTAGGTTTAGGACTTTCCCGTGCATTATTAGAGAGACCAGAATATACTTTTTATAAGCCTCTAGCATAATGTAACTGACCGCGACAGCAGGCGTTGTTACACACACTTCAAAAAAATACAGTGCTCTGTCATAGTTCTTCAACACTGTATATATTATTCCACCATAGTAATAATAAAGCAGAAAATATTTTGAATCGAACTGTCCTCCTTCTTGACCGATACCGGTGATGTCTATGTCAAGAAATTCTAATGCTGGTTTGAAACACTTTGATAAAAGGCAAAGCTGACAAAGATCAGCATGTATCGAAGTCAGTTGACTATCAAATAATTGTATTTTACGTATTGCACGGCACAATAAATCAATACCACGCAATGGTATTTGCAATTGAACTAATTTATCAGTGAAAAGATGACATAGTTCTGCATCTATAAAACAATGTTTTTACAAACAATTTAGGATATTTTTATATAGAAAAACCAACAAAGAGACTTACATGTATCTGGTGCGAATCTAACTTGTTCTCCATTACAACCAATGATAAATTCCTGAACCTGATTAAATAACGGTCTATAGGCATTAGCAGTGTTCACACCATTAGGATTTGGCAATGTGAATTTTACACACAACACTACCAATATACCTAATGAGTGTTGTTGTAGATCTAACGTTTCCAGAACGTTATCTAAGTGTTGTCCATTCTCCATTAAAACGTCTACATTTTTAATCATTATTTCACATAACTCTCGAAAATTTCCTAAAAAATACAACTTATTTACTTTGTCTTTTTTTTCATTATCTAACAGTTAATTGGTTAACAGAAAATCGTAACGTCGTGTAAAACAAACTCTATGTATATTTCGGTTCCATTCTAGCGACCGAAGATTCTATTTTGTATAGTTACAAACAATTTAATAAAGAATCGTTCGCGATTGTGATCAGAGGTTATGTTCGAGAGAAATACAAAGGGTCTGAACATCTGTCGTACCTTGTTTCGAAAGCGTCTGCACATTATTTACAAACTGTTCCAATGCTGACGCCATTATTGCAAATGCTTTCTTCTTACGAACCTTTGGCCACAGAGGATGTGGTGAATCCTATTTACAGGAATTATTTTCGCGAATAAACCATCACCCAGGATGACGTTTTGAAACAGGCAACCGCAACGCTCCGAAGCATGTTACGAGAATAGCCGGGTTGCATTGAACTCCCTCTCGCATGCTGTGATCAACGCGCGATCTGAATTTACTTTCTTTCAAATGTCTGTGTACATATATACATACATGCATACATACATACATACATACAAAGGAAAGATTTTCTCGATACATACAAAGGAAAGATTGACTATTGTATATATAACTTTCTATTTAAAATACTAATAAGTGAAGAAAATTTCTATTCATATTTCTTATGAAATTTCTTATGAAATTTCTTATGATTTCTTATGCCAGATCTACGTATTCTATGTTTGTGAGCAAAGGGCTGTCAATTTGTAATAAAATTGACAAGATCTTTTTACAAATTTTCCACTAATTTGCTATATAGGTACACATGTATCAAAATTTGTCGATAAGCGGAACTGAACGGATCGGAAATGAATGAATCGGAATCTATCGACAAAACTCAAAACTGATATCAAATTTTTACTTACTGGACATTTATATTTCATGCTTTTACTGTAAAAGCACGATTTGGAATTATACATTACTATAATATGCAAAATGTCGCCTTACGTTATTAAAGTCTATATGATGAAGTAATAATAAAAATTACTGACAGTTGATACTTTTAAATTTGAAGGAAGGTACTTCTTATTTTGCACGTGATATAAACATTAATATATATACAGCTGTACATAATAGTTAAAGTTTTACATTAATTTTACTTTTAGTATGTTACATGAAATCGATTAATAATTAATTTATTGTTACTACGCTACAATTAAAAGATTACAGAATTATAAATATATTTGTAAAATTTACAATGTCATTACATTATTTTCCTTTTGTTAAAATTATTAGAACGTTAAATTACCATTCTTTAAAATTTTTTCTAAATTAACAAGCAATATAAGTAATTAAATATGGATACTCATGAAGTCATTATTTATATATTCACGCTTTTTCGCCGTTGCTGAGATACCGACAATCCCTAACAATACCGAGCATAAAGAGAACTTTGTCTTCCTTTATTGTCGTTCGCTGTATTCTTAAACAAGTAATATATAGATTACAACATTTTGTTTTCATCAAAATTTCAATTATGTCCAACGTAACGTATGATAAACTTTGGAAAGACGCTCAAACAGCGTTAAATGAACTAATTCAAGTGGATACAAATTTGCAAAATGCGAAGCCGCAAAGAGACTGTAAAAAAGCTCGTTATGTAAATTCTGAATTATACGTAAAATACATTATTATCGCTAACAAGCTTGAGATATGCTACGATCAAGTAGTGCAGCCGCAAAAACGATTGTTAATAAGACAATTACTGGATTCCTGTCTTGGCAGGGTTTTGGAATTGAAACACGATTTAGTCGAAATAGATCTCTCGGAGTACACTTATTTTGATGATATTCTAATAAATTTAGATATTACGCCGCAAGAAATTGAGATTCGATTGCCCAGATATTTTCGAAGGGAACGTTCGAAAGAAATCATGGAAAGGCGAAACTTTATAGAAAGTACTTTGAAATCTATTGATGCGTTAGATGAAGTAATATTGCCAAAACAAATGAGTGAATTGGAAGCTGTAAAACTTATACAGGTGTGTATTGAATACTACTGTGTTTAATATTATTTACGTGATAATTATTTAATCAATTTTAAAACAAATAATTCTCATTCAAGGCTCATGAACGCGCAAGACAGGGACGGTTAAGATTTCAATTTATGAAAGAAATCCGTAAAATGAAAGAGAGATCGACAGTCAAGCCAGAAATGGATATCCTGGGCGTGTTGTGTGAAAAAACAGCTGCAATGAAAATTCAAAAAGTGTGGAAAGGATATGTTACTAGAAGGAAAGTGCGGAAAAGACGCCTGGATGAAATGTTACTGATTGGTAATTATTTATTTGAATATAAATGCTTGACTAAAAGAATTGTAACAAGTTCATTTGTATTATATTTTCAAAGGTATGCTTCAACCTAGTCAGGAAATCACTGAAACCGCTAGACAAGCTGAGAAAGTTAGACAAGAGAGATACGAGAAACAAATTGAGTACCAAAAATTATATGAAACTTTATTGATCGAGACGAAAGAGCAGATCCAGAAAGAGAAGAGTGCTATAATGGAGGAGAATATTAGAAGAGATATTCGAAACTGGATAAATACATATTTTCAACAAACTGGAAAAATTCCTGATTTGCCATCTGTTGAAAGTGGAGGGTCCAGAATTATATTTAGTAGACAGGTAAAATAATCAATAATCCTGCTATGCAGACAACTTTCTGATCATTGTTCTCTACTTAGGGAACTGAAAGCACTATAAGCAAGTCTACAGCAGTATCCTCAAAAGAATCGAAAAAGTCAAAGAAATCAAAAGCAAAAAAGGACAGTGAAACCGAGCAATCGGAAGAAGAAACAGAACAAGGCTTCAAATCAATTCCTTCCAATTTTTTGGCACAATTAGTACATGCTAACCAAGAATATCAGGATGTATGGAAAAATAAAGATGAATCTATGAATGCCACACAAATACCATATGTAAATATGATAGAAAAAGAAAAAACTGATGAAGTCGAACATGAAGTTAGAGTTGTTGTAGATCAAGCTCTAAGAGGTGTAACTGTATATGTATTACAATCTTTCAACATTTTCGTTGCACTTAGGAGTTAAAATTTCTTACAGGTGATATCGAAGCATTACAAAATGCATTAGACAGAGATAAGGGGTTAAAAGGTAAACGTACAAAAAAAACACAAAAACGAATTCGTCGTAGTGGCAAGAAAAATAAGAAAAGGAAAGAGAAGGATTTAACTCCTGATAGAACAACAGAGTCACTATTTGAAGAATTGTTGACGCAAGGCATTATTAAACTTCATCCAGAAGTTGCACTTAACGATTTCAAAGGCGAAAAGTCTTTCGTCAATAGTACTTTAAGAGAGGACGGGAAAGATCCTTTGCCAGCAATTGGTTGAGTACCTTACGATAAGTTGAAGAAGTTTGGGATATATTTCTTTATTCTAGTTTGAGTCTTTAACATTCTGAAATTATTTAAAAATATATAGGAGACATAAGACAATTAATAGCTGAATACTGCATAATTCCTCTCGGAAACAGTACCCTCAGAGAACTTACACCTTTGATAAGATCGGTATTATTAGCTGGACCACATGGTAGTGGAAAAAAGATGTTAGTTAATGCAATTTGTACAGAACTTGGTGCTACATTATTTGATATTACACCAGCTAATATTGTCGGGAAATATCCTGGAAAATCAGGATTGATCATGCTTGTTCACTTAATATCAAAGGTGTTCCATGATTTTACTTCTACAATGAATAATTTTAAGGAACCATTTATATTTCATGTATATATTTCTTCTTTCTATATGAAGGTATCGCGTCTATTACAACCATCAGTAATATTTATGGATGCAGCTGAAAAACCATTTGTTAAAAAAGTTCCAAAAACAGATAAAACTGATCCCAAACGATTAAAAAAGGATTTACCTAAATTAGTGAAAAATATTACAAACGAAGACAGAGTAATTCTTATTGGAACAACAAGCTCCCCATGGGATGGGGATCAGAAACTTTTATATCAAACTTATGATAAAGTCATATACATCCCCAGGCCAGATTATGGAAGCATGTCTCTTGTGTGGAAAGATTTATTGCACAAAGTTAGATTTCATTTACTTAACAAATTACATTATATACCCGCACTTAATAGAAACATTTGTATATACTTATTTTTTATTTATAGTATTCTGGAATTAACAGACAATTTGATACGTCCGTTATGACCAAAATTTGTGACGGATTCACTATTGGTACCGTACTAGCATCAATTAACGAGGTATTGAAATTATAGCGATAATATTTTCGTCTAGTACATATTTATTTTTATTTCGTAGTATTATTACACTGTAATATATAAAATGTAGGTAATGACCACAAAACGGAAGGTCCAATTAAGAACTCATCCTTTAACTCATGTTGAATTAATAAATGCACTGAGCGCAAAGGATCCAGTTTATAAAGAAGAAGAAGATGCTTTCTTAGGTAGTATACAATAACAGATAATGTTGATGATGGCAATGAATAATAATGACCATTGCTTTTACCTCTCTGTGCAGCATGGCTCACAAAAACGCCAATATATCGCAAAAAACAGCGCATGCATGAATTAGAATTGCAACAATTGGAGGAAGCGAACGAAAAGCAAAAAAGAAAAGGAAAGAAGTCATGAATACATTCGCTATTAACATTTTAAAAAAATGATTTGGTTTACATAACCGTCTATAACATTAGTATAAATTTTAAAAATCGATAAGCCATTAAAATACGTATTACCTAATTACCAATTTTAAACATGGACGTTTGCGTTGGGTTTTGTTCGACAGATCATTTATATCATTTTCAATTGAACTGCAAAAAAAGGAAGTATCGTGTAATATCGCCTGTTACCTGTATGAATCACTTCATCTTGCGTTGAAAAGGAGTCAATGCAAAAATTAATGAAAAATTAATTGACATGCATAAGTAAGATGGTGATGCGAAAACTGTTTATACTCAGTCAAAATTTTGCGAAACAAGAAAAGCTGCCTACATTTGAATTCGAAAAAGATCATGAATCACTCAAGAATATTCAAAAGAAATATTTCCTATATATTACATGAATGCACAGTTAGAAACATTTTTTTCCCTTTAACACATTACATGTATATATGTATGTTCAGTTAGTTACTCCTCCCTCTATTCCTTGGTTTTTTCTCAATTGTAATTTGATGATGTAACTCTTATAAGTAAATAAAAATATTTGTTTCAATGTCCTCATTTTTCATCGTAGCGATTAAGTCGTCTGGCCTTCCGTACATGGATCGATAAGATATTTCAAATTCGGTTATAACAGCAATCTTACATGTACAATCTCGCATTGCTATCAATTTTACACAATCGCATTAATTCGATCGCATGTCAAACAAAATGAATCACGTATGGTATAAGGTAAACAAACTGTTGATTCTTTAATTATGCAACAATTTTGCATTTAAAATAAACATCTTTCGTGTATGAATCAGGAAAAAACAAATTAACTGTTAAGGTTCCATCACCGCTTCGAATCATTCTAATTTTTATGTTTTGTTATATTTATGTTTAAAAAAAAATAAACTTTAAAAAAATGACCCGGTTATCACGTTAAAGGAATACGATGAAGTCAAAGGAAGCGACAGATAGCAACAGATAACATCTTCGACAATGCGAGGTCGAGTTAGGGCCGGCACAATTGCGATTCGGCCCGTTTTTATTCATGAACCCGGCTTTGTGAAAGAGACAAGTAGGATGCCTCCGTTAGCTTCGCATCGTAGTACAAAAGTCTCGTTAAGTCTGGAGTTACACAGGTTATATGTTTCTTTCTTCGGTTCACGTGATACAGCACGCAGGCAACAGGCTCGCGCTAACGACTAGTGGCAAAGACCTCTACGTTATTTTATCGAGTAGTCATAATACGTATTTACTTTCCTTTTTTATGCCTATTAAAATTTCATTGTCTTGTATTTGATAAATAACATGAACATTTTATGATACTAAATTAGAATTTTTTAGTAGGCTGTAAATAATTTGTTTAATAATCACATTAGTGATTTCAATTGTGCGTCTACTGTCAGGAATTAGTATGTATCAAGGATATACATACTGCGCATTCCTTGATGTTGGAAGAAGCGAAGATATTTTAAAATAATTATTTTTACAGTATATTAGAGTATCAGAGGCATAGCTTTCTCGATTAATTGTTTAACTCACGCCATATGATACATATGTATATACATACGCGGTTTGCACCCGTGTAAATAAATGAGAAAGATCTACATACTCATTTTTCTGTTACAATATTGTTAAACGATCGCAATATGTATTGTATTTTATTAGTTGAGTTGAAATTACCATGTTATAAATTATTTATTAGTCACTATTTTGCTTTTTTTTTAATGAAAATCAGTCAGTTTTCTTAAAAAAAATTAATTCTAATTCAATATTGCAATGAATTGCGATTGAAGATCTCTACGGTAATATTTATCGCAACAGGTACTGTGTGTTCAAGAAAATCAAATAGTCGTTCGTATCTTGTTAGAAATTAATAAGTTTATGTCACACTAACTGACAGTAACATCATCATAATCAAATTGAGTTTCATTTACCAGCGATGGTGTAGATACAATAACATTGTTTAAAATTTGCACGCATCACAATACGATTTGGTGACAAGCTAATATGTATCTACGAAGCAATTGAACATAAACCACCTTAATTGTAAAATTATTTCATACGCCGGTAGTAATAAAATAATTCTAACACCATAAAATCTTAAACGAAGTAGCTAGAGCAACAGTGGTAGTTGTTGTAACAACGTCGAAAGTGTTTATGTTAATAATTACAGCATTGTAATAACAACTTCTATCAATGTTAATGAAATAGAATCCATAATCTGCGCCAACAACTTGCATATTAATATCTCACGCATTAATATTTCATGAGAATATATGTAATATTCAATGAAACATTGTTCGGATAACACGGGACACTTAAATAATAAAATAAATAAAATAAGAGACGATTTCGACCATCTCTGAAAACGTACCCGTAATATGAGATTACGTTACTGGCACAGGGGTATCGATCCCTCGCGACACCCGTTTTATTACCAACGCAGAACTATTCCACGGGTGGTTATCGTAATTGATAATACTTCAGTTATATAAAAAGAGAAATGCGTAAGGTCGACATGTGACAACTGCATGTTCATGAATCGATCTGGCCAGCGGATTTCACGGATGATTCGTACGGAGAAGCTTGGTCAGCTGAAGGAGTAGGCACAGTTCAACGAAAAAGCGGAATATTCGTGACAGAAGACGAGAACGCCGGTCCATCCGTAGTGCGCCTGCGTACCGGAAACTCGGACTCCCATTGGTCAACAACACATGGTCTGATGTCAGACCACATGGTCTGTCCAATTCAATAATAACGAGATGCTGTCGAGGTAGACGCTAGCCAGTTCTCTGCGACGTGTTCGCGACGCTTGTGCCGGTTATTGATAAATAGGGAACAACCGCACGTCGTCGCCTGGAAACAGTCGAACAGAGAAATCATTTTTCTTAGTCCGTAACAATTCTATACATTCCATTGTTTCTTCAAGCGTAGAGAGTATAGGTCGGTCGGTTTGGATCCACCCTGTTTCGTTGTAGACAAATTTCATTGTGTACAACTGTCGACGCAGGATTTTCCGGTGATAAGAGGACACACTGAATTCGACTCGCTTATCAGGATTGTATCCACGTGCGAGGTGAGTCATTCGAAAAATGTTACATTTATAAAAACTCGATAATCATGGATAGAGGGGAATTATTTAAAAAAACAAAAAAAAACACGAAGGGTGTAAGTTGAATTGTCGCGTCGTCGGTGACCGTTAAGAAGCGACATTGAACGTTATAACGGATGATCTCATATGATACCATAAGTCAATTTCGTAGCGAGCTTGAGTACAACTGTATCATATGAACACATTATTAAATAGCGTTGGTTCTCAACCGTCGTCGAAAGTCTTTTAATTTGACGGACTTACCGCGTACGCATAGGTATATTAAAATGTACTGTAGTCGGAGTGATATGAATTCACTGCTACGAAGTTCTGCGTGTGTCTAGCACTGTAAGCATTTCGTTTATCGCGGTTGAATTACTCTTCACGGAAAGACATTTCTAACAACCGTGTGTTGCGTTGATAAAGATCGTGGTTTAAGCGGATAAAATTTCTTCACGTTTTATTCCTGATTTTCTTACGTTACGAACAATTCTGTACTATACAAAAATTCTACGCCATGAAATCAGAATTGAAAAAAACGAGGTAGACAATGTCATTTCTATAACAATCGGTTTTTGTGTGAAAGTTTGCTTAGCAAGCGAATCAGCGATTTAGTCTCAGTTCGCAATAACGGGTACACAGGTAGTCCAGGTAGAGAGTAACTGTTCCGTTTTCTCACAATGAGAATACGAAGAATGCACTACGTTAATAATTGCAACGTGTCACAGAAAATAAACTTCGTTTTGCAAATTGATTTTACTTATCCACAAGTTGTACGTGTGCGATCTTGGAAAAACGTTTTACGTCTGACTAGTGTAAACTTTTACTACTGCGTCGCATACTCAGCAGCATCGCTAACCAGCACTGCAGTAGTGTATTTATGTTGCATCAGACTCGCAGTCGGCAAATTATTTTTTAACTCTTCGCGAGGTTTAATTTCTGAGACACAAAAAGTAATCGTTCTTGTCGATTATATTTCGGCGCGATTGCTCGCAAGTACCGTGTAAAATTTACAAATACATCGAAGTAAACGCTTGAAAGTTAACGTTATAAATAGATGTTATTGTTGTTAGAATGTTAAATAATTATGTAACAATTTGTTTCTGAATTCCAAAAATTTCTCGTTAAATATGGTTAACATTGGTCACGCTAGAACACACAGTTAAATAATTCACTTTGCAGGTGCTTCAGACGTAGCGAAGGTGAAGACTTGTTTAATCTCTATTAACATTTCAAGTTGAAGGACTGTTCGCATAGTTCGCATCGCAGTTTATCTGTTCAGAAAATGTAGCCGCGGAAGAGCTCGTCCGAGTTAATGAATTTTGTCGTCCTGTCTATAGGTTGACCATTCGATACGCATCTGTGAAACAAAAATCGAATATAAATTAAAGTCGATATAAAATTGCAATATCATTCAATATTTTAAACTTCCTAAAATATTCAATGACTTTCCTTCCTTCGTACGTTTGTTCTTTCAATTACATTACTTAATATAATAATATTTTCTTAATTTTAGAAAAAGTAATATAAATAAAAATTGTAATAAAAATATTATTAAATTATACAATTGTAAAAAGATTATTGATCAGAGATCAGATCGTTTTACTGTAAAATGTAAAATCATTTTTTGTTCCTTTCTAAAAAAGAAAAGGAACAATTTCCAAGCTCTTGTCAAACAGGGAAAATTAAGAAATCATTAATATTTTACCGTATCTGTTCCGAGTTGTGGAATTTTCGTCACGTAGTTCCTCCTACATGTGCTCGTGTACGAAATTTCGATTCGTATTATCTTCGATCTCCGCGATTTTGGTTCGGTGCGCATGCCCGTCGCGCGCCACGTGATCAACTCGTGAAATGAGCAGTGATCCGAGTGGTTAGAGCGTTTTTCTCTTACCATATTTTTTCGGTCGGTGGAATAATTCGACGCATGACCCTCAAATGAACGATACCGCAGACGATAAATCTGATACCTTCTACGCGAAGGTTAGCCACGTGGATTACGATTAAAAGATGATATCACACTTTCTCTGTAGCCTATTACACACTGATCGTGCGAAAAGTGGCTTCTTTCTTGCGAATTGCGTAATCGAACGTGTCAGTGGAAGGAAACTGACGAGCATTGCTCGCCTCGTCGCAGTATAATATATTTCAGTCCCATTGTATGCATAATGATCAACAAATTCGTGTACTTGAATATTGACGTTAGAGGCTTAAACTGCTGTATTCTATTTTAATATTTTATTCTTAATTTATTTATTGGTCAAGTTCACGTTAACGAAACAAATTGCTACATTATTAAAATGTTCCATCCGAATATTAATGTTTAAGCGATACTATACAAATGAAGTCGACTTAATTTGTCTTTTACGTTTCTTTCAATTCTACGACTCATTCTCGTTGTTTCATTTATGTGAATTAAACGATATTTATGGGGATTACGAGATAAATCAGTGAAAATCTTTCTTCGAATTCAGTATTCGATAATCGATTAACAGATTCGGAGATTGTTATCCACGTTATAATATATAATATCGACCGGTCTCTGTCTTCCCTTATCTATGTATTTCCGTGTCAGCAGATCCCTTTATCGTGTGCCTTCGGAACTGCGTGAAAGACGAGGAATCGACCGATTTAACGGAATCGTCATTTCAGATAAACTTCGTGTTATATTTCAAGGCTAGTCGTGTTTACCTCCTGTATCGTGACGGATCGCTCGTGGCACGCTCTCTTTAAACACGGTGGGCCCCAAAGACTATGCTACGGATCGGTATAATTTTTCTCGTAATAATAGGAGACGCGTACATTTTTGTCCCTAAGATAGTGAAACAAGGAATAGGTAATACGAATTTACAAGTACATTGTGTGCCTAATTATGCGAATATTATCTTTATCGAACAATAATTTTCGACTGGTCGGTTTAAGATGTTTGTAATAATGTATATTTTCAAGAGTAACTATGTAGATCGGTTCGAGAATACATTATTGTGCTGGCAGAAATCCTTGTCGAACTAATGAACGTACGGGTTTAGCAAGAATGAAAGTTTTAAAAGATATTTAAGTGTTCGGGTGGAAAAGAAATATATATATATATTACTATTATATATCATACATATATATTATATCATACATATAATACTGTTGAAAAATAATTTCTAACTCAAACGTTTAATTCATTACTGATTACCCTTCAATGCCAAAAACTTCGGTTTTTCCATTAAAATTACAAGCAATGCGTGCACGAATAAATGAATCGTTTAATTATCTTTATTAGAAATACTTTTGGAATTACGGGTAGCCAGTGATTGTGAGAAAAAGAAATTGAAATGGGGAACATTTTGATCCCTTTTGTAGTTTTACTGTATCAATTCGTGTTGAATAATGAAGTTACAACACAGCTAAAATAAATGGAGGAAAACTCTTCAAAGCTTCAGTTTCATATTTCTCTGTACATTTTCATAGAACACTAGAATACCTTAGAACTACTAAATCTTCAACGAAAAAATAACTTGTTCAACAGTTTCAAAGAAAGTGCATAATTTCATTTCAAGCAGAATTAATCTGAAAGCTCTTAAAAAAGCTCAATCAAACATGCAACTCTAAACTTTCTAACTAAAAGTTTTAGAGATGTGTATAAGAGACAGACTCTAAACTTTCTAACTAAAAGTTTTAGAGATGTGTATAAGAGACAGACTCTAAACTTTCTAACTAAAAGTTTTAGAGATGTGTATAAGAGACAGACTCTAAACTTTCTAACTAAAAGTTTTAGAGATGTGTATAAGAGACAGACTCTAAACTTTCTAACTAAAAGTTTTAGAGATGTGTATAAGAGACAGACTCTAAACTTTCTAACTAAAAGTTTTAGAGATGTGTATAAGAGACAGACTCTAAACTTTCTAACTAAAAGTTTTAGAGATGTGTATAAGAGACAGACTCTAAACTTTCTAACTAAAAGTTTTAGAGATGTGTATAAGAGACAGACTCTAAACTTTCTAACTAAAAGTTTTAGAGATGTGTATAAGAGACAGACTCTAAACTTTCTAACTAAAAGTTTTAGAGATGTGTATAAGAGACAGACTCTAAACTTTCTAACTAAAAGTTTTAGAGATGTGTATAAGAGACAGACTCTAAACTTTCTAACTAAAAGTTTTAGAGATGTGTATAAGAGACAGACTCTAAACTTTCTAACTAAAAGTTTTAGAGATGTGTATAAGAGACAGACTCTAAACTTTCTAACTAAAAGTTTTAGAGATGTGTATAAGAGACAGACTCTAAACTTTCTAACTAAAAGTTTTAGAGATGTGTATAAGAGACAGACTCTAAACTTTCTAACTAAAAGTTTTAGAGATGTGTATAAGAGACAGACTCTAAACTTTCTAACTAAAAGTTTTAGAGATGTGTATAAGAGACAGACTCTAAACTTTCTAACTAAAAGTTTTAGAGATGTGTATAAGAGACAGACTCTAAACTTTCTAACTAAAAGTTTTAGAGATGTGTATAAGAGACAGACTCTAAACTTTCTAACTAAAAGTTTTAGAGATGTGTATAAGAGACAGACTCTAAACTTTCTAACTAAAAGTTTTAGAGATGTGTATAAGAGACAGACTCTAAACTTTCTAACTAAAAGTTTTAGAGATGTGTATAAGAGACAGACTCTAAACTTTCTAACTAAAAGTTTTAGAGATGTGTATAAGAGACAGACTCTAAACTTTCTAACTAAAAGTTTTAGAGATGTGTATAAGAGACAGACTCTAAACTTTCTAACTAAAAGTTTTAGAGATGTGTATAAGAGACAGACTCTAAACTTTCTAACTAAAAGTTTTAGAGATGTGTATAAGAGACAGACTCTAAACTTTCTAACTAAAAGTTTTAGAGATGTGTATAAGAGACAGACTCTAAACTTTCTAACTAAAAGTTTTAGAGATGTGTATAAGAGACAGACTCTAAACTTTCTAACTAAAAGTTTTAGAGATGTGTATAAGAGACAG